TCCAGGTTTACCTCGCATAGCAGAAAGGTCAACAATGATGGAAAACATATGTAGCACACAACATTCCGACGCAAATCGGTACGATCAAACTACACAAATGAAATAGCTTCACCAGAAAAGATAAACATTCTGAAATAAAAATCTCTTCAGGAACCACCTTATCTGAAAGTTACTATTTAATTTCCAAAAACCAGTTAATATTCAGATTTAGCCAAAAATATACATAATACATAGATATTCGCCTCCACCTTTCCTGGCCTCAATATATTTCAACAATGGTCCTGCAGAGATGGCTTGCTTGATATCAAAAAGTACGAGAAACGCCTAAAAATAAGCCCCGTTTAACGTCAATCTTCCAATCGCGTGGATTAAGTCGGACGATTTTTTCGCAATTGACACCACTTGGCATACAAGGCGAATGGCGTGCAAGTAAGTCCAGCAATATCTCAACTGCTTCCGTTTCATGATCGGCTTAAAGATGTCCAGGTCTCGATCAACCGTTAGAAAGAGGCAGTTGTAAAAATCTGCAATCTCGATAAACCTCCTGATACCGAGGAACGCCGGGGGAAACATTGTTGTGCAGATGAAGTCGGTTTAAATCAGAATAAGTGAATGCTGACGGGGATAATTTACAAGCTTCGGAATCGCAAGTAACGTATCTGCTAAGCCAACCCTACCTGTTAACTACTTACATGTTAGCCCAAGTTAGCCGTATATTTTAGATAAATAAAAGAGGGTAGTCCTTCTTAGTCCTGCTTTACGTAAGCCTTTGTACATCACCCGACCACACGTAAATATTACAAACATACTTCTTTCCTGAATAATTTCAACAATTTATATGTAGTCGTACTAATTCACAAAAGACCTATGTGCAGTCGATGCTTAACTAAGAAAATCCTAAGAATAGAATGAGGTTCCTACGGTCCCTGCTTCCCAACTCGATTAGTTTAGAATTTCTGAAATCAGTAGATACCATGAAGCATGGGTTGGAAATGAACTACTTTTTAAACTATTTGGACAGATTGACTAATCTCACGACGGGATTGTTGGTTGTAGAGTAGGTGGCTTGGTAGCAAATATATACTTGATAACAACAATGGATATATTGTATTGGTATCTCTCTTGCTATGAACATGCTGTTAGGTGCCTATATATTTATTTCGTGAGATGGGCAATGCACATATATGTATAACACCGTCACTAATTTTTCCATCTGTCTCTATCAGGGAGATCTGTGTTGCATTCTGGACAGTAAAAAAATAACTTAAACCAGTAGGTTCGCCACTCACTTAACTTATCGCATTAGGCGATGTGATAACGACATAACTTTGGACAACGCCTGCAACCAGATTTAGTTAAGTACATAAATCCATCACACCCTTTCAGATGTGAAATAAGTATTCCATGCACCACACTACGCCATCTAATATCTAATATATCAAACTGTCCATATTATTGCAACAAAATATAATTTTACACGAGATAACAAGTTACATTAGTTTCCTTCATTAATAGCCAAACAAAATTTCCCAATTTCATAACCCAGACTTTCCCAATTTTTCCAAAAACTGTAATTACAAGAAAAACTATAGGAGACATTGTGTAATATAAGGTTTTTAAACTAAGTTAAAACATAGTGTTGGGTTGCTATAAGTATGTACATATGTATGTCGCTCATCAGCGTCTCATACATTAAATCGTTCATTACATTCCTTAATACTACATCCATTACGTAATGTATTTGTCATATGTACCCATATATACGTATACAGAGAAATAAATCGGTAAAATTAGTGAGAAAAAATTTTTCTATGTACATATATATATTGGTTTTACTTGTTTATTAACCCTTGGTCAAGTCAAAGATACAGATATGTACATATTATGTATTAGTATTTGTAAAGGTACATAACATTTTAAGAATTACTTCTTCTAATTTTCAAATTTTATTAAAAAATAAGTATGCACATATGGAATGCACATTTACGAATAAGATCAAATAAATAAATACACATGAAACTTTAGCCGACATTGCTTAATTTGATACAGTTCATTATTACAACCTTCTCTATTTCTACATATGTACATGCAAACATATGTGAATACTTGTGTGAAGTTAATCTGCATGAATGCACAGTTTTATGAATACACAGAACAAATATATTAGTAGGTACGTATGTACGTATTTAAGATAAACTAAAAGTTATAAAGCAGGACTTCTAGCAAAATAAATTCATATAACGGCATAAATATTTATGTACTATACAAAATGTATATTTTTCCAAAACATAGGTAGTAGTTTTTCTGAAAAATGTGTGCAGATCAGGAGAAAGCAAGGTCAATACAAAAAAGAGCATCATCTCCAAACAACTGTCTTAAACTCAGTTGCGAGTAAACACTTTGCAATAGAGTCATTCTGGAAAGTGAATATTGGTGACTTTTCGTAACGAGTAAAGTTAGGTTTCACTTTGTCTCGCGTAAGTTTCGCGTAATGATCCCCACAGTGTTACTAACATAATATTGATGGAAAAAGGTAGCTGGGCGAACATTGTATTGGCAGCTATGATGGTGTTTGCTATACACGTTACCCCAGCGTTCCGTGCACAAACCAATGTTACTATGTATTACCTTACCTTATTGTAACAATGTTTTACGGGTTTTGAACAAGTAAACGTAAGTGCATGATTTTATAAAATCAACTTATTTTATTTAAATCAAATATGATGAAAACGAAAGGGGCGTAACAAACGATTGACGTTTAGGCGGGGCAGGATTTTCTGGTGGTCCTGAGGATAGTTGAGGCGAGCTACAAGGAGGCAGACCAGTTGGAAAAAGAGCCACTAGAGGGATTTCTGCTCGCCACGTTGAGCGCCGTCCTCTGCCTGCCCAGTCGTCCATGAGTTATGTATCGTCTCCTCAACACGCCGACGCAGCCCTGTGTTCTACGCTATGCCGAGATTGTGACCTCCGTACATCCCTACCGCCAGATGTTTACTCCCACATCGCCAACTCCAACATAATGATTTACGTGCAGCCGTAATCTAGAAAATAAACAAATAAATTAACACAAGCAAATGCTGAACTGGTCACCACATGAAATATTGTAACACAGAAAAGCACTCCCTGTACTGATACAGTAGAGTGAACAGAAGTTAAGCCATAGAGCGCTAGACAGCTTGAATTAAGTCAAGATACTGTACCATACTATGGTAGACTTTTAAAAATTAGACGCTTTTTTAATCTTTTTCTCCGAATCCATTAAACATTTTCTTGGGGATGCGGTCGTACTGAGGATGTATCCTCCGGGTATGAACGATTTTAAACCTTTAATAACATCTGAACCATTCGGAGTAAAGGTCCCGGATATGCTCTATATGAGAGCCCTTTTCACGAACTACAAGTCGACATTGACGATTCCAACTTTGGAGCACTGATTTGACCATGGCGATGTCATCTTTCCATCACTTGTCTTTCAAGACTTTCCAAACTCCCAAAAAAGTTTTAGATCGACGGAGAAATATTTTTCTTTTCAGATATCCCAAGCCGAAATAGTTCATTGAACTTACATAATGGGATTTAATAGATATTTCTCTATTACCAAAAATTGTAATCCCGAGTCTAGCTTTTAAATTCTTGGCGTACTGTTGGGCCAAACTAGTGGTATGAGATGGCGCGGAGTCATGATGAATTATCACCTTCTTCTTATCCTAACCGTAGAGTTTGGTAACTTCGATTTCCAAAAACGGTTTTAAAACGTAGTCAATAAAGTACTTAGCAGTTACCTTGACTTTCCGAGGAATTTTGAAAAGTGGGAAAATTCCACGGCCAGATAATGCAGTAACCACCATAAACTTTTTAGAAAAGTTCTCCGCATGCGGGATGGCTAACTTTGGAGAATTATTTTTGCATTTTGTGCATAGTAAACTTTACGTTGGCCTTGTAGAAAAAACAGTGCTTCATCCAATGACACAAAAAATGCAGTTTTATTTTTTCTTTAAAAATTGGTATAAAGGTTTTTGCAGGTGCGGCGACGATTTTTTTTATATTTTTCTGTTGGCTGATGAACTAGTACTTTTCTTTGCTATTGCTTCTTTAAAATATTGATGGACCGTTGAACACTATTCCCTGACACATGGAATCTACGTGCCAATTCCTTTTTTGGTAGCGGATTGTCCTTGGAGGTCATTAGGTCGATTTCCATGAGCACGGACGGAATTAGCACTTTCCGCGTGAATCTTCGCGGTGGTGGTAGTAGCCCATTGTTGCGTGACTCTCATTGCAGACATTTATTTTCAGTACACTATGTATCCCTCCTTTCAAAACCTCAATTCCTAAACTTTTAAGGTGTTTAATTATACATGCATACGAATAATTAAGTTTGGAAAGTGTTTTAATGACACCCTTTACTTCTGGGGTAAGTCTGGGGGACATCTTTGAAACTAGAGACCTAACTTATTGCACAACGCTTGAAAAGGGCTACATGCCATAATGTTCAAAATTTGGAGCCAGTACTGTTGCGCATTCCGGAGATAAACGATATTGAAATCGTTCACACCCGCGGGATACAACCTGTATTTTTAAAATTTTTAAAATTTAAAATTTGTTTTCCTCGTCCAAGGTTTTCAGAGCCATCTAAAATTTTGAAATCCTTCAAAAACAGACCGAGCACTGATATTTTTAACTTTCAATGCGTTTAAAAAAAGGTTTCAACTTTAAACAGTCCACCATAGCAGTATGAGGTTGCGTGAAATCACTCTTGGGGACATTAGCCCTGGTTTACGGACCCAAGCTGATTGATTATTGATTGACCGTTGGTTGATTTAATTCTCGTCATATTCACTTATGAGTGCGATTTATTTATTCACCACTTCATTCATGCTCTAACTCGTTCGTACCAACAAAGTAACGCGAGACGCATCGAAACCCAACTTTGCTCATTACGAAACCTCACCAATACGTATCCAAGATGAGTAAATCCACGGCATAGTATTTACCCCAAACCAGGTTTGAGCCAGTTGTTGACAGCTGACGGTTTATTTTGCTCACCTTGTTTACATTACTTTCTCCTGATCTGCACACATTTTGCAGAAAAATTATAAAGTAACTTAGTTTTTGCAAATCATATACGTGTTTTCTTTGATTCTCTTAATAATTGTTTTACGCATGTAGGATTAGTTGCGGCCTTTCCTCACTAATAATTTTTTGAGTAAACTGAAGATACATAATAACAGCACAATATTTAACAAAGCCTGGTCTATTTTAGTATCTTTTTCTTCCAGATCATCTCCAACATCTGAAATGGGAGAACCACCAAATAAAATTATTAAGATTACGCCGGATGAATTACTAAAAGAAAAATTACTGCATTATTTTGACCAATTTTCGACGGACGTGAGATCTGGGGTATTTGTGTTACAGGGAAATTTTCGAAAACAATATATTTTTGTGCCAACAATTGGCGTTAGACTTATTGAGGTAAATAATTTACATTGCATCGTGTTATATTTAATAACATAAACTATTGTTTACTTAAATTATTTGACTAGTGCAAAATACATTTATTTCCACGTATTTTTTATACAGTCTGGGAAACTTATTAAATTTCCGTTGCAAGAGGATGAAGTGGCCGTGGAGGAATTTGCGGCTTCAGAATTCGAGGTGATAAATTATTTAATTAATATGGAATGCATTCATTACGTTTAACTCGTTCACAAAAATTGTGAACTAATTAAAATTCAGTTTCATGAAGGATTTTTCCCAAAAATGCCATACTCAATTTCCAAACAAAGTTTGCACAAATTTGGAAGAACTCGCATATTCTCGTAGTAATTCTGAAATCTGTATAAGTACACAAGTTGTAAGTGGGCACGATAATTTATTCCAAAATGAGTCCACACTTTTCACTTATGTGCATGTTATCCTTATACATTGATGGCATTTCAGAATTAGTAGGAAAATATGCACATTTATCCTGATTAGTTTATTTATTCATAAATATGTAACTATAAATTAATCCCAAAATCCCCATTATTTTCTCCAGATCATCCTTCACGAGGATTGGACTAACTTAGAAAACATGATAGCAAACTTAATCCTAGACAAATTCCATTTCCCCAACAGCGCCAGAGTTTCAACTTCTTTACAAAAACTGATCATCCAAAAACCCGGCAGTAAATTTCCCTCAAATCTGCAAACCTTATTTCCCACCCGTCTAAAGAAGTTGTTGCAAAATCCCAAAAATCCCTGCCATCCGTTCCTTTTGGTCATCTCGTCATCCAACTTCCCTCCCACTACACCGGTGGACGCTTCTGTTTTGGTCTTAACGGAAAGGTCGAACAATTTGACCTCTCTGCCAGCCTTACCACAAGGGCCGGCTGGACCTCAAACTTTCTCGCGTATTACCCTCACCTCGACCAGGATCACGACATCATCTCGTCTGGCGTCCGGTCCTGTTTAATCTACAACTTGGAAATACAAACAAGCCCCACGTTTAAATTACCGAGGGCCCCCACCATTGAAAATATTGTGCCAACTTTCACCCAAATAATTGCCGAATGGAGGTCCGCCCATCAAAAACACACTGCCAAAGTGTTACCAATTGCGTGCCCTGATAAACGTTACGATATCTCGGCCATACCCGCATTTCTTGGAGAGACCCTGCGGGCGAATGGAGTTACTTTATGTATGGGCCAGAAAGTTTCACAGAATGAAGGTGTAGAGTTGTATTTCTATGCCCAGGTGAAAATGTGGGCAGGTGTGGATGTCCTAAGTGAAGAAGCGTTCAACAATTTTTTGCTCGACGAAGGATCCCACAAGGACCAATTCATCCACTTAGAGTTCAAACTGGAAAACGATAACTATACAATTTACAGTAATAATATGATCCTCCTCGTTTTATCGGGTGACGACCATCAAGATATTTTCCAAAATGAAAGTTGGATTAAGACCCGGAAATTTTGGAGATTTCAAAGTTACTTGTTTCTAGCCAGGCATAAAAATACAAAGAAGAATAGCATCCAACTTCTCCACGATGCTAACACCCTGTTATCTCTCGAGTTCGAGAACGAAACTGCAAGCTTGGGGAATTTCCGAGATGATTTATTCCCAAAGAGTGTACATTTCCAAAATCTCGTCGATAAATTTCACCTCCTCACGGATACCCAGCCACTTACTAAACTATTCAAACTTTGTCAGGAAAAGTCCGATTTTACAAAAATGTTTCCCTCTCTTTTGAATTCTGCAGTGTCCTGGGATATTTTAAAACCCGTGTTACAAGACTATTTCCCGATGCAAGAAATCCAATCTGGGGAGCAATTTTTAAGCAAGGTTCTACATTTCAGATTATTCGTCGATGTCGAGTCAACTGACAAGATGCGGAACGATTTTAAACTCGAAACCTTTGAATCCTGCCTTTTAACCTTCCAAAGATTAAAAACCGCTCGAAAATTTGCTAAAACAGCTGAAAAAACGGGAACAATTCGAGAGTTCTTCTTAATCGCGGAGCGTCTGCGGTACAATCTGTTTGAATTTGCGAAATCCTTGTGTCCCACGTTGCTCAGGATGTCCTTATTTTCGAAAAAGGTGGTGAAAGACAAGCTCGGAGTAATGTTCGTCCAACTCGTCACGGATCTGTATTGTTGCACAAACATGACACAAAACTGGCAGAGGGAGGCCGAGTGGTGGATTTTACTCAGATACTTTCAAGTCGCTGAAAAAGTTGAGGCTGATATCACCCATATTTTAGGAAATGTCAAGAAATACGCCGTCTTGGTAAAGGCCCTCGACGGTTTGTCATGTTTAGAAGAGGGTGAGATGTATTATGACGAACATAATGAATGGGGAGGATCACTATCCAAGTTTTTGGCTTCCATTTGTATCCAAGTTAGAGGCACGGATTGAAGCCGTCTTGGCTTCTTCTAGTGAGGATGAAAAGTTCAATGATTTTATTAATGCTGACACTCTGACGGAAATTAGGACAGTATTGGAAAATATGCAGGAGGAAGAGAATAGTGGTTAAAATTGAAATTTTAACCACTTAAACCTTTGAATTTATATGAGTTTCAAAAACAATAACACAATTTTGAAAGCCGGTCGCAGGTTTCGGAGGAAAAAATAATAATATAAACAGTCGTAAAATACATGTGCGAAAATAAGTATACGTCTTCCGTTTTGCGTGTTTATTTTATCATGGACTTTTCGGAAAACGTAGCTAACATACTGACCGATTAGACTAGATGTCTATGTATTAAGAAATTACAAACTGCAAAATTTGCAGCCATGCCAGGTCGAAGGCCCTAGACCTCAATCCAAATCCGAGACTATGTCATCCAGTATTGGAAAGGCGATGACAATGGGGTAAGTCTTATCAGGAAGGCATTGATTTCCTTAAAATTGGATAGCCAACAGTTCAGAAGATTATTCAAAAGTGCAAGACGACAGGGAGGATCGAAGACTTTAAAGGACGAGGCCCAAAACCGAGCTTCAAAAATATGTACTGTGCAACAGTACAGTGTTCGTAAAGTGAAGGTTAATCCAAGGTTATCGGCATCATCAATCTTATCCAATATTGGGGACACTTCAAGACAACAAGCAAATCAGTTTACCATAGCGATAGTCCCGAAAATCACAGGCTAAAAAATTGTGCAGCTAAAAAGAAACATTTCATCACCAAACGGATTTTGAAGAAACGGCTTGCATTGGCTCATGAGCATTTTTCCAAGGACCAAAGTTTCGAATTCGTCCTTCAGGGCTGAATAGGTTGAATAGGTTTAGGTTTACTTTCCCAAGACTACAAAATTGAATTAATTTGAGATTAATCGTCCCAAGTTGCCAATTTTTTAGATTTCATACTTCCAAGAAAGGTAAAAATGATAAACCCCAGCGGAATTCACACTGTTTACTTTTTGAATTACTTACTCCAATCTGTAGTTAACCTGAAAACAAAACTAAATCTGGATTAACGTAGCCCTACTTCACTTTCGCAATACATCCTCAGACCTTTATTCAACCAATACTAAAGGGCTACTTATTCTTGGTTGATTGATTGATAGGTTTTTATTAAAGCAGTCGTATAAGCGTCAGCGTACTGTTTACTTAAAAGCTAGCACTGTTCTAAACGTACCCCGAACAATTCCTTGTACAAATTTTAGATGCGTTTTTCTTGTAATCCTAATGTACCCCGAATATCCAATACACATCGTTTTACAACTCCTTCTAAACTTTCCTATATATTTTTTACTTCCTCTCTTCCTTAGGTAAATATGGCCATCTGTCTTCCAAGAGAGTAAACAGTAACCAGATGCACTTGGCAACTTTGCCATCGCGTCCAGCAAAAATAACCAGGCAACCACTTTCGACAGCATGGCAAGGAACAATACCTTTGTCATGGTATCCGCCCTGTCACCGCCAACAATGACCGTATATCCCACAGAAATTGCGAGCTTGCCAAATATCATGTGAAACCAGGGGATGAACGGACCTATGATTTAGGAAAGCCCTTGGCTCATAAGCTGCAAAGATTTCCAAACAATTGACAAATTTTCGACGTTGTGTCGAAGCATGGACATCAGAATATACAAAAAGTATAGTATTTTATAATGATAAGATAGCTTATCGATGTAGTTAGGAAGGTGCATTTCATGCTGAGGGAATACAAGGAGGTAGCCAAGTTCGATTAGCGGGAGCAAGTTTAGCGCTTTGTTGGACAAACCTGAAATGAAGAGCCATTTTTCGGTAAAGTTTTTGATAGCAGGCGACATATTGTGGACCTCCTGACGAACCAAAATCTTCAAATTTTGTACTAAAGTTGTACTTATAGATTAATGCGTATATACCGTTAAAATGTGAAGCCGATTGGTATTAATTTTATACAAATCGTTTGCACAAAATTCGCACCAACAAATTCTTACTACAACCTTACTTGTACAAAATATGTACAAAATTAGCACTACTAAATATGCACGAATTCTGTGAGAATTTGATGATTATGAATACGCATTAATGTGGTGAGAATTTAGTATGAATTTAGTACGAATTCAATGCAAATCTTGTGCTAGTGATACGCATCAAATTAATACATATTTATTTATACCAAATTTTCATCTATTTATTATTAACTCAGCTGTATATGATTATACATAAGTCTTAGAGTTATTTAGTCTCCAACTACAATATTATTTAAAGATGAATTACAAATGGGGATACAAAAGTATTTATCGTCTTGAATAGGCAGAATTATACATTTGCGACGCAAAGCGCAATAAGAAATTAAAATACACTTGTTAGATAGGTCGCATAAAATACATATGTCTAACTTCGAACTCTTACAAGGATAAAATTTTTGTCGCTATCACTATTACTACTTAAACTAAAATTATCACCCTCCATGTTCAAGTTATTTCTGAGAATATCTTCGCTGTTTTCATTATTCAGCGTGATGACTGGGTACGGCATCGTTGTTGTCGGCGATATTGTCCGTATCCGTTTCAGTGCTTGCTGAAGTTGTTGCTCTGCCTGTTTGTCGTGATGTCAGCATTTTTTATCTTGGACGTAATTTTCATGCGGAACCAACAGCCCATTTGTTGATTGATTTGGGAATCTTTCACTTGTGAATTTCCACTTTTAACAGCATCTGTTAAATAAATAATAAAGTATGTATAAATAAGCCATAAGTATTCGTTTTTTTATTTATAAAGACAAGTAAAAAAATAAGTGACCTCGAACAAGTTTAGCTGACAATCGATTTTCGAAAGGTATCTTGTTATTCCTATCCGTGATGCGAATTTTGCTACGAAGATCATTCGCTATCATTGAAGAAAGCATGGCGTACACATCTTGGGCCAAAGTTTTTCCATTATTTTTTGAAAGGAAACCTGAAATTTGTAGAAGGGTGTTATATGTTTCTCACTCATTTGCATTGCATAACCATAAAGAAATACGTTTTCTTTGCATGCACATACATACCTCTTTATTGTAAATGGTTTTTTCAGTTTTCAGTATCGCTTCAATTTGTTCCAACTCTTCCAATGTCTTCGCTGGCCAATTTATGTTTGTATTGTCTGAACAGTTTGAGGCTGCTAGTCTTGTTAATTTTATCACCAGTTTTTCCAGATTGGCTACTCTTTCCAATAAGAGATGTTCGTTTCTTAGAGACTCTTCCTGAAATTCTATGAAGATTGATGAGATCAGTTTACTTAAACACATTAGTAAAGAAAAACTTGCATAAAAGAATGCCTTACTTCTGAATTCTGCAAATAGAGATTCAATCCGTGGGTCAGGTTCTAGTTGAATAACTTGTACATACTTGTGGGGATTCCTCAATTTGTCCTTCTGTGGAGAAGCAGCCGCCGACGATTTCGTTCCCTATATGTACAAAAATATTAATTGTTTAGTAAGTATCGTGCTAAATCATTCATACAATGTAATTTTCAAGATAAAAATTACGTAATTATTAGCATAATCAAAACGAAGTACTAATACCGTGCTGATGTGCATTACCTTCAGATTGAAAATCAATTATGGGTACTACTACATCGACTTCAGACCCTGGATTAGTGTTTTCTGTGGATGCTTTGCGCCGACGTCGTCGTGATTCCTCGTTTTCACTTGAATCGATTGGTTTATTGCCGATGTACTTGTTCAATTTTTTTATCGCCTTGTCGTACGAATCTATCAATTTTTTAAATTAAACAAAATTTAAATAATCTTAGCATGCATGTATAATTAAGTATAATAAATAATTACCGTAGGTTCCCACAAATAATATGTCGTAGTTCTTCCAATCTTTTCCTATGAGAGCAGTAGGATCACATTAGATCTTGGAAAACTTTTTAGGAATTGGATGAGGGAACTTGCACTTTGTCATATCCTCGGAAATCCATGTGGATGGCACTACTTCCACCCCTTTGTCAATTTCGAACTCGTATAGCACAAAATTTTTGAGTTTATCTGACATTGAGTCGTAAAAAATCTGACAAAACACTTTATTGCTAGAAATAAAAAATGGAGGGCTAAATATGGAGAGAATTCGACGGCGTGGCTAAGACAGTCATTCACTAATAGAACACCAAATCAAACTAATACAATTTTTGTAATAAATTAATGCAGAATGCTTAGCACAAATTTTTTGTTAGTAAGTTATTAGATGTTTAATGCGACTTTAATGCGACTGAATTTGTACAGTTTCCCGGGTATAAATTATGTATGAATTTAGTAGAAGGAAATCAACATAAGAATTTAGTGCAAGTGAATTCGTACTAAATTCTCACTAGTTCATTTGTATTAATTTGGTGCTAATTAACTAGTGACAATTTAGTGAATTTCTTGTGTTAGTTTATTAACAGTGGAAATATTCATATGAATTCTGTACGAATTTTGTACAAATTCATAAGTGCGTATTTTTATTCACTAAAATCGCATTCATTTGCACTCTGATTCGCAGTAAATACGCATTGAGGTTCGTTGGGTTTGTATTTATGTATCACGTGAGCAATCACAATTTTGTAAAGAAGTGAATCTAAGTGGTAGTGAGACTTATAATGCGGGAACTCAGGGAGTTATGTAATGGTAACTTGTAAAATCCGTTAGTCTTATAAAACAATTTTTTACATCTCAGCGAAACAAAATTATTCAATAGTTTACGAAAAATATAAATCTACAATAGAAAGCAGATAAGCGAATTTATTGTGCGTAGTTTCTAAATAAGTATGCAAATTAGGGACAACATCTTAATTTACTTTTAGGTATACTCTTTTATTTTCTTGCATTGTCAAATGCGAGATATTACAACGAAATATTACTGCACACTTTCACGTTAATAATATTTTAAAGTTTGAAGAAGCGCCGCTGAATGAATATTCCTTGGCATCTCCATATTTCAGGAAGCGATACGCTAACAGGCAGGGGATTATAGCCGGGGAAAAGTCACCTGTGTTGCAAGTAGAGCTGTGCACGGGCCCGATTTTTAAAAACCCAGCCCGCCCAGAACCCTACTGGAAAAAACCCGGCCCGCCCGGCCCTACTGGGTTTTTCTGGAAAAAAAGCCCGGCCCGCCCAAAACCCTACTGGAAAAAGCCCAGCCCGCCCGGCCCTATAGGGCTTTTCTGAGAAAAAGCCCGGCCCGCCCAAAACCCTATAGGGTAGGGCTTTTTTACTGTAAACCCACCCATGTGCAGTTCTGCACGTATTTATCCTAAAAAACCAGCACTTGCTAAGGCTTTCGGAGACTCGATTAGACATGCACACTAGGTATTAATAAAAAATGCAATGGTGGACAAATCCAATGCATATTATTATCAATATTTGCTAAATTTGAGTTATTTTAGTTTAAACAAAACTTAAGTTAAGCCCTTGTATTTAATAGAACTGTATTTATAATTTGGTCTTAATCTCACTGATGTGATTTACAGTTGAGATTTATTTATTCATGAAATTGATTCGTGTAATGAAACAGCCAACCAGTGAAACCAACTCCATAGGATTACAGATAAACAATTCTGCTTTAGCTGGAGCTACATAAAACTATGAAGTTTTGTTTCAAATTGCCATATTGTACTTTATCACTAGGGTAAATTAAAAAGCCCGAAGCCCTACAAAAAAAGCCCGGCCCGCCCAAAACCCTACTGGAAAAAGCCCGACCCGCCCGGCCCGACTGGAATTTCCTGGGCAAAAAACCCGGCCCGCCCAAAACCCTATAGGGTAGGGTAGGGTAGGGTTTTTTTAGGGTAAACCCGGCCCTACGCACAGCTCTAGTTGCAAGCCGCAAGGGTATACCAACCAGATCGCAAATATTTACAATTTTAACATTAACTCAATACTCTATTTTTCAATTTTAGACATTCCAGAGATTCCAGGAGGAAACACGGTGTCTGCAGAGGGAATAAATTTCATTCCCAATTCCGACCTTATCGCATCGTATTCAAATTCAAATCTTTCAATTGGACTGGAGCAGTCTTCACAAGTATCTTTCACACCCATTGTACAAAATTTAGAGGTGGAATATGCTACTAAGGAAGATTTGATGAGTAAGGGTTGAAAAATATTTGGTCATTAATAATTAAATTTATATTAAATGGAAGAGTGCGGTGATGAGTGAGTAAATTTGGGAAAGAGAGGAGAAACTCATCATTTTGAAGCCAATTGAACCAAGTACAGGAAAAATGTGTTCGCCATTCATACGGCATTGTAGGGAAATTGGTAACTGATTAGTGTACAAAACGAAAGGTTGCTGGTTCGATTCCAGTCAGCTCACAAAAATACTTTTTTCCTGTACTTGGTTCAATAATTATAAGAATTTGTTTTTTAAATTCTCAATTTACATCATCTTGCGAAATTGATATTTATAAGTTATCTAAAAAATGTGTTGTATTTCCAGCTGATAGTGTAGATAAATTTATGCTATAGTGTATTCCCATGCTTTGATTTCAAATTTATAAAATAAAAGTAATTAAAAAGTAAAAGTAAAAAATTGCCTTCTATTTTTATTGCATAAAATTTTAATAAATACCGAATATATACGGTCGGAAACGTTCATTTTGTGTAAATATTATGGACCGAAAAATACGCACATAATATGTACCTTCTATGGAGTTGACTTCGGAAAATAATACTTGGATAAAAGGTGCGTAAAATGTACGTTTTTTCATGCGTATTTTGTTGTGGAACCTCTGCCATCCTCTTACAGAAACCAGCATATATTATGGGCGATTTCCCGAACATAATATTTAAGTAATATCCAAAATTTTCTTACTGGGGACTTGGTTAATTTGCAATGCTAGGATTTTGGGACGATATGGTAAATCTTATTTTAATATTCTTGTGGTGGAAATACGGCAATGATTTGGTGGAATTATGGGCGATTATGTGGTGGAACCACGGGCAATGATTCACAACATTCTCCTGTGAGTACGTGATCGGTCAAGAAACTTGGTGAGTTACACAAAATGAAACAATACATTTTTAGCGAGCCTTTAAAAATTGTTTTGAATGTTTGATTCCTTATTTTATAGTTTCTGGCGCACAGTTCCCTCAATTCGAAAAGTACGTTATCAATTCTCTTGCCCTCATCGAGCATAAATTGACGGCTCAAAACCAATTACTGCTAACATGTTTATTTCAACGAAAAGTAATCTTAAAAAGAATTACGCTGCTGCATTCAATTTCACCGTTTCGCCAACTAGTTTGGACGCTCTAAAACTCTTCGAAGGGATCGCTGGCAAATCCGAGAAAGGTCGATGAACTTGTATGTGAGAAGGATAGAATATGACATGACATACTTACATATTTGTCTAATTTTTGTTAACCCACTAATTTTTTCTAGGTCGAGCATTTAAAAGATACTGGTGGAAAAGACTATAACGAATGTGTAGCAAATATCTTGAAAAAGATCCTACCCGATGATGTTGCCAGTCAGTTTTGTTGGGGGGGGGGGGGGGGGGTAAGAAAGACAAATGGTAAGCTTCCATTCAAAGACCTAAAACTCATGAATGCAATTTTTAGTAAGTTAACTATATTGTGGAAAATTATTATCACTACAAGTTCTAATATTTTTAATTATTATTTTTTTATTATTGATGCAGATGCCATAAAAGTGACAACAACAGGAAACTGTTCGGAAGTGACGGAACACGATTTTAAGAAGAAATGTTCATCTTGGTTGGTACATGCACCAGATCGTATTAAAAATGTAGGTTTAACAGTATAAATAATTAGCATGCATAAATAGAATATCTTGATTGCTATATTGATTGTTGCTCATTTATTCAATTTTCAGATCAAACCGAAGTCCAAACATTCTCTTTCAATTTTTTAATTTATTTATTTATTGATAGATTGTTAAGATAAGATTTGATTGTTAAATAGTGGATTTTGTTATTGTTTGCAATAAAATATAGAAATTGAAAAATATGAAATTGGATTTTAAATTTGTACATTGGCCACCATCCAGAACTAATCATTGGTATAATTCCTGTCCATAGCTTATCCGGACCTCTTCTGTTCATCAATATAAGACCTCACTGGGATATGCTTCACTGGACATTTGCACATCCTCACAACATAATACGAGGGGCTGGCCCCTTGTTTAAGATCACTTTTACCCCGTTCGTGTAGAGAAATGGGCGGGAGTCAGGGTTTCAAATTTATAGCACATGTAGCACATACTATTGACAATTCACTAAAAAAATTTCAAAACTGTAGCTCAAAAAATGCCTGAATATTTAAGCGCAGAGCTGGAGGTACTCATAAAATATCTTTCCGGAGAAGGACACTCGAGAAGATCTATCCAAAATAAACTTAAGGTCAAAGGTCATAAAGTATCACTATGTGTAATTCATAGAGTGCTTCATTGTGAAGGATTGAGAAGAAGGGCAAAGGCTGAAGAACTCGAATCACCCAAAATACAGCGAACCTATCAAAAACGGTCTCGAGCCATAATTGAGAAGGTACGTAGAATGACCTCCCGTGAGAATCCCCCAAGCCAAAATCAAATGGCAAAAAGAGCGAAAGTGAGTCGCGATACTATCCGTAACATTATTAAGCAAAATTTGGGAAAGGTAAAGCGGAAGAAATCGAAGAATCATGCCCTTAAAGGCACCCACATCGCGAATCGCAAAACTAACGCCAGAAAGCTGTACGAGAACCACCTTGCAGGAGATAAGTGTGAATATGTAGTGACAATCGACTAAGCACTCCTCAGGGTAGACTACTGTGGGGAAGAGAGACAAATTTGCTACGTCAAGAAAGGAGAAGATGTGCCCGAACGCTGGGTGTGCCAGACGAGAGAAAATTTAATGCGCAATTCATGGTCATCGGTGCAATATCCGGTCGTGGAGTCTTGCCGTTAATGATGGCGCCCCCAAATGTCAAAGTAAATGCAGACCGATATGTGTCGCAAACAAGGTGCATGTATGTAATAAATGAGGGGAGGGGAGATGGGTGAGATTTGAGACGGTGAGGGAAGAGCAAACATGTAAATACTCCGGCTCCATTAATTATTTAGTTGGGCCTATGTTTGGCCATAAATTCCTTTTCTCCCTAAAAGTAGTTGTCCTTCAACATCTTGACCTTTAATTGTGTGGTTCGTGTGTTGTTCATGATTGGTGTTTGCATTTGGAGACAGCCCCTCTGGCTGTCTCACCATTATAATTATTTGTAAAAGTTTTGACCATTCTCATTCCATCCTCTGAGGAGGAACATTCGGTCAGTCACGCTCTAAATTGAGAATAGCCTAAATTGTAATAATATTTGAATTTGTGACTATTAAACCAAATTGTGACTAAATTAATCCTCCTCATTATCGACTAACTGCGCCCACAACAATTTGCCAAAGTCATCCCACACTGCACTACATAATAATAATAAGTCGTCGTTCTCTCACACCGCCAGCATTGTCATCCGCCATATTTCTAATACATAAGTGGTCTCGCCCTGAACATTTCCACAACATCAATGGTCTCGCCTTTCCGAATGAATTAGCCCTTGGGATTTACAACCCCATAGTGAGAGGACTTTCGTCCAAAGTGTGAAAAGTGCAGTGTTTTTGTTGGAGTAAGAGGAAGAGGAATTACTTCCCGTCTTCCCATCCGTCCTTCGTCGTCCCGTCAGTGTTGGAGTAAGAGGAAGAGCAATTATTTCCCGTCTTCCCATCCGTCGTCCCCGTGGGTAGTTTGTGGAGTGCAAGGAAGCACGAAGTCGGCGACCACGCCCTGGTGTCGATTAGGGTCCTTGGTCACTCGTCGCCCCGGGTCAAGTATTGAGTGGGAGGAGGTCCAGACAGGGTGTCCTCCAGCATTTCGTCGTCACCTCGGTGACATCTGTCTCTGGGTTTGTGCCCGCCCTGAAGGGGCTCCAATTGAGGGAAGAATCGTCCAATTCACCCCCATTTGGACAATTTCTAATTTTTCCCCGTTTGTTGGATTTGTTGGTCCCTTAGATGGAGCTGGGACCCCGACACTCCGAGAGGATGAACAAGGGAGTCAAGCCACTGCGGTACCGGATGGAGGACACGGACAGTGCCCCATCAACCGTCATGGACTCCTCGTCGTCAGTCTCAAGTCGTCGGAAATCCAGCAGCTCGTCGCGTGGATCCAAGGGAACAGTCCGAAGCCAACAGCTCCGAATTGCCGTCGAGGCCAACCAGGCCATCGACAACCTGAAAAGTGCGCAACTCCAGCGCGAAAAGGATCTCGCCTTAATGAAGGCTCAAGAACAGTCCCTCATCATGAAAATCAGACGACTTGCCCATCAGGGCGAAGATTCGTCCATCTCCCCAGAAGAAAGGGCTTCACTCATGGTCCGTCGGGCCGGCCTTGAGAATGACCTCGAGGAGCTCACGGCGGATTAAGGGAGGGCAACAGTAGAAGTTGAATACGACAACAAGAAAGCGCAGCATGACGAAGCAATAATTCGTCGCCAGGCAGCGGAACGACGTGAGTTGGAGGAGGAGGAGGAGGAAGAATCTGATTTGGAGTTGGAGCGAGTGCCCGTCGACAAGGCTGATCTCACGCTACAATGGGCAGCAGATCAGCTACAACAAAAAATTATTGGCGCAACGAGTGAAAGTGGCCCAGTTGTCCCAACATCGCAGTCCCCATCCACTCATTCTCAACCCTTCTTCACTCCAACCGACATTCCGCCAGCCGTGACAACATGGTCAGCAAGTTTAGCCCAGCCAATGACCACTCCCGTCACAACTACCGAGCCACAACAAAATGGGTGGGACGTGTATTGCCAACAACAATCGTCGCGTATTCCACTTGTGTCAGGCTGCCCTACACCACCGCCATATAACCCGCTGCTGTGGCCGCCACACCCTCCGCCCATATCAACGTATGCAAGTGCAGTGCCACGCCCTCCGCCCGTGTCAATGCCCGTCACAGCAACCACTACCATCCGCAATCCTCTCTTCGCCACGTTCGAAATGTCAAATCCACCCGTTATCACCAATTATGGCAGTGCTACTCACGCGACAAAGCCGCCCGTGTCCATGCCGCACACTACGTCGACCTCGTCCCCTCCGAACAATTTCCAATTTGCAACCTACATTACAGCCATGCCAAGTGTTCACACGAGTGGGAGCGCATCAACTAACCCTCTTCCTCGTCCCCCCAACTATTGGAGTGTGCCTGACTCCACGCTACATGTGTCTCAGCCGTACACATTTCCAGCACCGCCCCCACTGAATTACGCCGTCGAGTCAACTAGCTCGTCAACTGACAAGATTTTGGCTAGACAAGTCCATGGCCGAGATTTGCCCGCTTTCAGCGGTCAACCGGAAGAATGGCCTGCTTTCTTCCTCGCCCTTGAAACCAGCACCAAGTTCTGCCAGTTCTCTCCTGCCGAGAACTTAATTCGTCTCCAACGGTGCCTAAAAGGGGAAGCACTCAAGATGGTGAAGTGCCTTCTCGTCTCTCCCGACAGTGTTCCCATCGTTATTGAACAACTCAGGATGAGATTTGGTCGGCCTGACCAAATTATTAAAAATCTCATTACCAAAGCCAGACTGCTGCCCTCGGTAAGAATGGACAAGCTCGACTCCCTCATTGAACTGGGCGTCGCCGTGAACAATTTGACCGCCACGATCATGTCTCTCAAGTGTCCGACCTATTTGTACAACTCCATCCTTATCGAGGAACTAGTGCAAAAGCTCCCAAATGCCCATCAACTGGATTGGGCACGCCATTTTCAATCAAGTGGCAGAGACGCCCCGACCGTAGACCTCTTCGCAGAGTGGCTCCACACCATCATGAACGCCGCCTGTTTTCTCTGCCCCCCAAAGATGAGCAAAGAAGAATCGAGTCACGGAAGAAGAAGAACCCCAAACGACCGTGTCCTCATAGCAGACGAGGAAAGGAAGAGAAGCGACGAAGGGAGAGGTGATCGTCGTCATCAAGATCGCCGGCCCCCACCAAAGTGTTTATGCTGCAAGGCCCCCAACCATAAGCTGTTCGCATGCCAAACCTTTACCAGGAAGACCGTGCAAGAGAGATGGGACATGGTGAAAGAGAAGAAACTCTGCTTCCGTTGTCTCAACGCAGGTCACGAAACGAGAGAGTGCCGATACAGGGGTACGTGTGGTATGGATGGATGTAGCAAGCCCCACCACAAGTTACTGCATGACCCAAGGCTCCAAAGAAGACCCCTTCAACAAGAAGAACGAGGGCATCAGCAAGTTCCCCCCAGTCCTCCAGCTGAAGTGGTAACTACTATGGAGGAATTCCCCTACATAAATTTGATGGTGCTACCTGTCAGGTTGGAAGGCCCCAGCAAGTCCATCAACACGTTCGCCATGCTTGATTGCGGCTCCACTCTCACCGTTATTGAGAGCACCATCGCCGAAACCCTGGGGTTGGAAGGGGAGGCTCGCCAGATAACCGTGGGAGGATTCCAGAGTGACCCCACGCTCATCAACACCAAAGTCGTCGCCCTTAAGATTAAGTCCCGCGACGGCTCTTTCTCCTGCGACCTGAAAAACGTGAAGGCGATGGACAAGCTCATGCTGAGAGAGCAATCCGTTCGGAAATCCCTCCTCCAGAAGTGGTCCCATTTGAGGGACATCGACATTGCCACATTTGACTGCAAACGTCCAGGAATTCTGATAGGGATGGATAACCCTAAACTTTTCCTTCAACAAGACTGCCGAGTGAGAAGAGGGAGCAATGGCAATTCACCCGTCGCCATCCGCACCCCGCTGGGATGGACTTTAATGGGAAGAACATCATGGTCGGGCCGGGAGCAATATGGATATCATGTCCATGAAGTTGACCCTCTACACCAACTGGTCAAGGACCAATTCGCCACGGACGCATTGGGAGTCAAACTACTGGTGGAAAAGCCAAGGTCCACTGAAGACAAGAGGGCGCAAGACATTCTCGACACATCCACCCACCGTGTTGAAGGGGGATGGGAAACTGCGCTCTTGTGGCGCGACGACAACGTTCGACTCCCAGACAGTTATGCTAATGCCTATCGTCGTCTCCTGTCCATGGAGAAGATAATGGATAAGGACCCCTGCTTTCAGGACAGCTATTGTGCAAAAATAGCGGAATATTTGGAGAAAGGTTTCGCCCGAGTTCTCACCCCAGAAGAAGCGGCCGTAACCACCCCCAAGACCAACTACGTCCCCCACTTCATGGCCTATAACCCCAAGAAACCTGGCAAACTTCGTTTTGTGTTTGACGCCGCCGCCCGCAACCATGGTCAAAGCCTCAATGACCACCTCCTTCCGGGCCCAGACAAGCTTATCCCCCTGCCAAACATCCTCCTCAAGTTCCGTCAACGCAAGATTGGATTGACGGCCGACATCGACATGTTCCACCGAGTCAAGGTGAAACAGGACGATGCCCAGGCCCAACGATTCCTTTGGAGAGGGAGAGATAGGACACGACCACCCGACGTGATGGAAATGGGTGTCCTCATCTTTGGAGCAACATGCTCTCCCACTTGCGCCCAGGAAGCCAAGAATCGGAATGCTGCAGAATTTCAACAGCAATTCCCCCACGCCTATGATGCCATCGTCAACCGCCACTATGTTGACGACCTACTCGACTGCTGTGATACAGTGGAGGAGGCCAAGAAGAGGTTCGAGGAGGTCCGAGCCATACAGGCCGCCGGAGGTTTCAACCTGCGAAATTGGCTGTCCAACTCCCCAGAACTCGTCACCTACATCCCGGAAAACCTGCGGGCCAAGAATATGAAGGACCTGCAAATGGGGGAGGACAACATAATTTAGAGAGTGCTCGGCCTGTTTTGGAAGCCGGAGTCTGACGTCTTCACTTTCTCCTTCAATTTTGTGAAAGCCAGAGAAGAGATCCTGACGGGGAACAAGATTCCCACCAAGAGGGAGATGCTGTCCCTCGTCATGTCAATTTATGACCCCCTAGGATTCCTCACCACCCTCACCATCAAGGCGAAGATGCTGTTGCAGCAGGTGTGGCGTAGTGAAATTGGATGGGATGATGAAATCCCCCACACGATATTTGAAACCTGGAAGATTTGGCTGGAGTATGTTCAGAAAATCCCAAATTTTCGCCTGCCGAGGTGCTACTCTTGGACTTACACCAGTGCAGAGGAAGTCCAACTCCACCTATTTGTTGACGCCAGTGAGGAAGCCTTTGGTGCCGTTGGATACTTCCGTATCAAAAAAGGAAGTGACGTCGTTATCGCCCTCATCATGGGAAAAGCAAAGGTCGCCCCCCTTAAAAGCTTGATGGCCACTAAAGAATAGAAAAAATCTCCTTTTCTCAATAACGCTAACAATAAAAGAAAAACCCCTAATCTAATATATTCAAGTCTTAAAAGAACAGACAAAAGATGATCCCGCTTAGAGCACACAATCCAAATCCCAGAAAGAATAATTAAACCTCTAATAAAAAATAAAAATATAAGTTTTTATAGTTTATTTTATAATATTAGTTTTGTAAACTTAAGTATGCTTAAAGCATAAAAACTTCAAAATTAAGTTATCCACTTTTTTCCAACTTCCAAAGCTAATATTTTTCATAAATTAAATTTTGTATAAAAATATTTTTGTGATGATTTGCAATCCTAACTCATAATTGAATACATAACATTATAATAAAAGAGTACACCACTCGTAATTAAATTTACAGTTTAGCACCTAAACTCAGCCATTTTATTTATGAAACGTTGATTTTTTTCAACCAACCACAAAGATATTGGAACTATGTATTTAATTTTTGGAGTTTGATCTGCTATGGTAGGCACCGCATTTAGAGTTTTAATCCGCTTGGAATTAGGTCAACCAGGTTCTTTTATTGGAGACGACCAAATTTATAATGTAATAGTAACAGCCCATGCTTTTATTATAATTTTCTTCATAGTTATGCCTATTATAATTGGGGGGTTTGGAAATTGACTAGTGCCACTAATAATCGGCGCCCCAGATATGGCGTTCCCTCGAATAAATAATATAAGTTTTTGACTTCTTCCACCTTCATTAATCTTACTATTATCAGGAGGACTGGTGGAAAGAGGAGCAGGCACAGGTTGAACTGTGTATCCCCCTTTATCAAGAGGCATCGCCCATGCTGGGGCTTCTGTAGATTTATCAATTTTCAGACTTCACCTTGCTGGGGCAAGTTCAATCTTGGGGGCAGTAAATTTTATTACAACTATCATCAACATACGAGTTGAAGGTATGACTTGGGACCGAACTCCTTTATTTGTTTGATCAGTTTTTTTAACCGCTATCCTTCTCTTGCTTTCCCTTCCAGTTCTTGCTGGAGCCATTACAATACTTTTAACAGATCGTAACCTAAATACTTCATTTTTCGACCCTACCGGGGGCGGCGACCCTATCTTGTACCAACACTTGTTTTGATTTTTTGGTCACCCAGAAGTTTATATTTTAATTCTTCCTTTATTTGGCATAATTTCACATATTATTACATTTGAAAGAGGTAAAAAACAAACTTTCGGTCAATTAGGTATAATTTACGCGATAATAGCAATCGGTCTTCTAGGATTTATCGTTTGAGCACATCATATATTTACTGTGGGAATAGATGTAGACACTCGTGCTTACTTTACAGCCGCCACTATAATTATTGCCATCCCCACAGGAGTGAAAATTTTTAGCTGAGTGGCGACACTTCAAGGAAGTGCCTTAATTATCACCCCAACTTTAATATGAGCCATAGGTTTTGTATTTTTATTCACTGTGGGGGGTCTCACAAAACTTGCGACGAGGAAGCGTTCACTGCTGCACTGTTTGATAAAATTCCTAAACGAGTAACCACAAAAAATCTACGCAGTAAAAACTTTAAAATACAGAATGTAACGTCAAATAAATTAGCACTGTCTTGGGGGTGCAACTCTCGATATCTATTGGGTGACTGTGGTATTGAAACCCTACCCTTTGGACATAAAGATATTGTATGAAAATAATTTTGATGATGATGATTGTAATAAGTAGGATTATTATGAAATTATTATGAAAAAAAGTGCAAAAAATAAAAAAAAAAGATTCTTGTACAGTGTATAAAAATTACAAAAATAGTTTATTTATGTAGCGTAGCGTGAAAACGTATCAAAACCTACGGTTCTACGACACGGAAAAGGTCCAAGGAAACAATTTTGCAAACTAAATAGTCAGACCTATCCACTGTCACAACATGACCGGCCCCAACCTCACACCCCTCACCTCTTCTAACCACGAACAGCAGCAGGAGCAACAGAGAGACCATCCCGAACCATTTTTCCATCCTCCTTCTTGTTCAGGCAGTGATATCATCTCACCGGACAAAGGAAAGGACACCAGGACATCACCTCAACATCCTCATCATCTCAAAATCCACCGACTAACGGAAGGAAGAAAGGCAAGTGCAACAGGAAGAGAGAACAACCATCCTCCCTACCGCCTCCCCACACCACCAAGGACAAAAACTTCTGCCCAGTGATTGATTGTCCAGGATTATCATCTCCAAAAACAGAAGTGGATACGATGTAATTCTTGTTATGTATGGTATCACACTTGGTGCATTCGCTTGCAGGCCATTCCTAAAGGAAAGTGGTTCTGCACAAACTGCTTCGACACAGGTACACATACACATGCCCCCACACCAAATTCCCCTAATACAACTACACAAACAATACAAAACGAAAGCACTAGTCAAATTACACAGTCACTCCCCTGCACAAATACACAATCACCACAAACAATTTCTAGTTTTTCAAGTACACCACTTTCCAACACAATCACAGACAAAGAAACATGCACTGCATTAACGTTAGACTGGCTACATAATAATTTCATAGTAGGGGGAAGTATTCAAAAAACGGTATTGCATTCAATGTATAAAAAGGTTTCATGCACTTTTAGACCCTTAAAGTTAACTGATTTGGGTATATTAGTCAAAAATGCATTTCCCATGCTTACAACCAGAAAGTTAAGAACAGAATTGCATGGTGCACCTAAAATTCATTATGTAGGGATTCAACTTAAATCGGAAGGTATAATAGACCCAGTTTTTGATTTCAAATCTATTATTTCACTCCTAAAGCAAAACTGTCCCACCCTCAAACAGTGTCCAAAAGCATGTAGGATTCAGGTGGCGCAAGTACTTAAAACGGCTATAGATAAGTGCATATCAGAGAATACAATAGAAGCATGGCATTTACTTCTAACTTTTCCATACATTGTATTACAATGCGAACCAAAATCTCACACGAAAATGGGGCAAAGTCTGAATAGTAAAATCAAAACTAATTTGACTATTTTCGAATCCTTAAGCAATAATACCTATCAGGATTTTCTACTATCACAAATAACCAAAACTTCTTTTAAAAATGAAACGAAGGTTAGTAATAACATAGGCCGAAAAGTCATTTCAAAAGTATCTGAAGGAAATATTCGTGGGGCAATTAGGCTTTTAACATCTGATGATACCATTGCACCCAATTCACCAGATACTTTAGAAGTACTTTTGGAAAAGCATCCACCACAATCATTAGATCACTTTACCGTTTTAGAGGGGCATAATATTTCACCACATACAACTACAAAAGAGCAGATTTTATCCGGAATATTTTCGTTTCCTAGTGGTTCAGCTGGTGGATTAGATGGCTTGCGTCCTCAGATTTTGAAAGATTTGGTTTCTCAGCGTACTGGAGAGGCGGGTGCTCAATTAGTTAAATCACTAACCAATTTGTGTAATTTTATGGTGGCAGGAAAAGTTCCTTTAGAAATTTGTACTTTCATATACGGTGCAAGTTTGACAGCCCTTACAAAGAAGTCAGGCGGAATTAGACCCATCGCAGTAGGTTGCACGTATCGTCGTTTAGTTTCCAAACTTGGGGTCAGAGTAATGAATGACGTTTTTAAGGATTATTTTAGTCCGATTCAAGTAGGCTTTAATGTTAAAAATGGCGCCGAAGCTGGGGCTCATGCTGCGCGTAGATTTTTCACGCATCCTCATAATTCACCCAAAGCATTCCTTAAAATTGATTTTAAAAACGCTTTTAACATGTTAGACAGAGGTAAATTGCTTTCATCCGTCCATGAAATGGTACCGGCTTTATATCCATATATCAACCAATGCTATAGATTTACATCAAGTCTCGTTTGGAATTCTTCATTAATTGATTCTTCTAGAGGTGTTCAACAAGGAGATCCATTAGGTCCACCCCTCTTTTGTTTAAGCTTACATCCAGTTATTATGAATTTGGGGTCAGATTTGAATATGTGGTATTTAGATGACGGTACTTTAGGTGGTAATCCCGACACAGTACTAGAAGATTTTAAACATATTATCTCAGGTGCAGAAAAAGTAGGTTTAGAATTAAATTACGACAAATGTGAGATTTCTGTTTTAGGTCCACAAACAAATACAATTGACATCCTTAGTTCTTTTCAAGAAGTTGCACCAGGTATCTCGGTTATGACACAAGAAAACGCTGAATTGTTGGGCGCACCTTTGACATTTGAATCAATCGAGAGCATTTTTCGTAAAAAGATAAAGGCATTTAATAACATGGTAGATAGGTTGCATTGTATTCCGAACCACATTGCATACTATCTCTTGAAACATTCTTTAGCCATTCCACGATTAATATATCTTTTGAGAGCGGCACCAATTTTCAAATCACCACATTTATTAGACGAATTTGATTCATTACTTCATAATGCTTTAGAACAAATTATTAATTGTCAAATTGATTTTCCTTCATTAGAAGAATTTTCAGTGCCAGTTAAATTAGGAGGTATTGGCATTAGACAGTCGAAAACACTAGCTACTCCATGTTTCCTGGCATCATCTTTTGCTACTACTGATTTGGTTTCTGCAATTTTGCCCTCATATGTCACTGCATTGTCTGATTCACTTGTGACCGAGGCGCAGGATTTGTGGAAAACAATTAGTGTTAGTGAAATTCCTTCCGACACAATCGCATCAATGCAATCTGCTTGGGAAATTCCAATTTTCAGTCGTATCTCTTCACATATTTTAGACTCATCCAATACTCCTATTAACACGGCTAGAATTTTGGCATCCCGGTCATCAGAAACAGGTGCATGGCTACAAGCATTACCATCTAGGAATTTAGGTACACTTTTAGATGACAACACTTTTAGAATTGCAATGGGTTTGAGATTAGGTCTTAAATTATGTTTTCCTCATAAATGTGGCAAATGTGGCTCACAAGTAGGCGAATTAGGTTTGCATGGGCTTTCATGTACAAATAGCGCTGGTAGACATCCACGACATA